CGTCAGCAACCCTCTAACAGCCGTAAAACCGAGAAAAATTAAATTAAAGGGGCAAGTAAATAGGAAAAAATATGAATAGGAATGTTTCTATCCATCAAGACGTATACGATCCTTTTCAGAGCCACAAATGGACTTTGGAGTAACCCTTCCCCCACCCTCCCCCCTCCCGAAAATGTATTCTAATTGAGGCTATTAAGCTCAAAATAATCCATATTTTATTAGATCCATGATTTACCATGCAGTCGACAGTCTTCCTGCTCCGAGCTGCAACTTTAAAAAGGCCTCCAAGCATTTCATCCTTTTCTTGTGGCTCTTCCGCTTCGTCCTTTAGCGTTGCTGAAAAACGAGCAGTGGCTTAAAAAAAATCTTTAATAATCACTGAGGATCTTGCACAATCTTGCAAAAATGCAGAAAAAAAGCAAGTCCTATTCAAGTTGTTTCTGCTAAAATATAAAGCCAATTTCAGGAAATTTCTCGATTTTTGTAACCCTAAGTTGCCAGAACTAGAATAAACTAGAATAAGGGACTTACCAGAGCTAGAATAAACAAGCTTAGCCCAATTCAATCGAGATTTCTCGCTGCTGCTGCTGTCGTTGTAAAGTGAACCAACACGAGCGCAGAGCTCAGACCAATCGTTCGCCGGCCTTTGCTTCTCTTCCTGCACCAAGGTAATTTCCTTCTGCTCGAAAGTACCCAGTTCCGCTTCTTCCTCACTGCTGTTACCTTCATCCTCGCCGCTCTCATCTGAAAAAAAAGAATGCGAAGTTTCACTGAATGTTCAAAATACTACGTGTTTTACATTTTCGCATGTCGCCTCTTTCACTCACCTTTTTTCGTTTTTTTTTTTAACTTTTTTTTTCAAAAATTACTCGACTACAAATAAAACACACACACACACACACACAAACATACACAAACATGTAAACACACACAAACACAAACATATACACAAATACAAACACACAAACATACACAAACACACACACACATACAAACACATACAAATGATTTTTTAATAAAAAATAACTTTACCAGCAGAGCTGCTGTATTCGCTTGTGCTTTCACCATTATCGACAATAGAAACTTTGGAGCTGGCCACCATTCTCAGTGCTCTTTTATGCATTTTTTCATCGATACCCTCTTTCACGGTTTCCAGCGCTTCTACAAGCTCATGTCGGCGAGCCCTTTTGTAAGAATGTGAACCACCAGTCTCAATGTAAATGGCATCCTGAAACATTAACAGAGCAATCCGAAGCAGTTCTAAACAAAAGTTACATGATGGTTTGAAGCCGAGCCAAGTTACGATGAAAAAACAGCTAATCAAAGCATCACAACAAGCTGTTAGTTTTATTTTTCCTTCTACTGTTGCAACATTAACTTTCTGTACACTCACTTTCACTCCCCTCCCTTCCTTTACCTCCCTTTAGTAATCCACATGCTCCTCTTAACATAGCGGAATGAGGCACTGTACTGATGATTCCCACCCCATTCCGCACCGATTCTGCAGTCTGTGTTTACAGCTCAGGGATGAAACATAGACAGGCTACCAGCTCAATGTACATACAGGCTTGCTTATCTGGGAGATCTAAAAGCCATTTCCGCTTTTTGTATCTTCAAAATTTCCACAACACTTAGCATCTAATCGCGCCGTCGCATGGTTAGGCACAAAGTATGCTTTCCACGCTCCCCTTCGTCTGAAAAAACAATTACGTCTAAGGAGACATCAGTAATTAAAATGACAGGAAAAAAAAGGCCTACCTTATCATAAACAATGCCACCAAGACCCGAAAAAGGTGCATAAATCACTCGTTTCCGTTCATTCAACGACCGTTTTGCCTTTTCATTCGACGGCAATGGACATGGGTCAGGTATTGCAGTGATCTGAAATCAAACTATTGATCAATTGGAATCAGCCATTCCGTCAGAATCTCTGGAAAAAATAATTCTGTGCATTTTGAAACGGCGAAAGCCCTGAATACCAAAAATACAACC